CAGGATAAGCTCTGGCCTGATGGGCCACTTGGCCTTTATGCGGACTTAACCTTTGGCTACACCCTCGGGAGTGGGGGATGGGGGAGGTATGTAGCCACTGTAATGGACTGTAAGGTTCAGTTTGGACCTGGACATAGCCTCCCTGTTTGTAACCCAGTGATGTACAGTGCAGCTGCGTGATAATTATTTCTGAAGATTTCCTAAGCTCATCTTAGCACACTTTAAAGTTAATTTTTTTTCGTAAAAAAAAAATTAAAATAACCTCCTAGTTGCCAGGTCTGGGCTCTGTTATGAGTGGATGAAAACAAATGTATTACAATAATGCAGAACGTACATTGTATAAGTCATGAGTATGATTTTGACATTCAATGTAGTCAGTCACCTTGAAAATGAAAATTTCAAGAAAAATTTGGCTCAATTTTACTTTAATGGGACATGGCTAGTTATGAAATCTTGGTTATTGTGGCAAAGAAAAACAAACAAACAAACAAACAAACCAAAAAAAACCAAGATATTTTGCTAGCTGGTAAATGGGAACAGAAAGAAAAGTATTTCTGCCAATATTAATTTACTAATAACAATATTCAGTTAGTTGTCAGCATGCCATCCAGAAAGGGCTACATGTACTTAGAAAAGTTGGCAACCTAACAAAGTTTTGTATGAGGAGGCTCTGTCCCAAAGTCTAAACCCTTTCCCCTTTATATAATGTTTTCAACAGAAAAGGTTTCCCTTGCAGATAGCATCCAGCTTAAAACCCCTCTTTGATAAATTAGCAATTTAAATGTTTGGAATCCCTGCCTTTTTATAATGCCTGAACAGCCTGAGAAAAGTACACCTTCAATCCACTATATTGAGAACCTCTCAGCTTGATAGAATACAATCATAATGCTATTATAAATTATAATATATACAAGTAAAACAACATTAATGTTCTTACATGGAAACAGAAATCACAAGTATTTTATTCTAATATCCTGTCAACTGATTGTTTTAATTTCACAGGCAATACAGTAATATTTAAAAGGAGTGGAGATATGATGTCTCTTCTGATAGATTTTTACAAGGAATACAGAAATATGTTGGCAGGTACTTAAAACATTCTATTCTCTATAATGATAATTATTGTTTCAAGTTGTGATTCCAACTGTTTCCATATCTTGTTTGTAGAAACAAAATAAAACTGACCACATGTACATCACCAGCCATGGTGTGTGTTTGACGTGGCTTGAATTTGAAAGGGTTGGACAGTGAACCTCTCTTGCAAAACCAAAAAAAAGTTAGTCTATGGGATATTAGTTTTGTCTATCCATCTCTAGAATGTTTTAGCGTATACGTCTTCAATCATGATATTGACTTATATATCATCCGTACAAAAGTGTTCACTCTGGTTGTACTTCAAGGTGCACGTGTATTGCAAAGTAAAACAATACAGAAACAAAGAAGCCGAAACTTGTGATGATGTTATGATTAAATTAGTTCTTGTTATGAAATGAGTCAAAGCAAATAACTCACAAATCACGATCAACACCAGGCTGCCGTTTACTGTTGGCTACTATTACAGACTGGACAGCATTTCTTAGCTGTCTTCCAGTTCCATCGAAGATGTCATAAACAAATTTAACCTTGATCAAATTAGGCTTAATACCACATTTCTGAAGATGATTCTTCCAGAGAGTTTTAAATCATAAGAAATAATTTTGCGCGCCTTGCGTGTCTATGTTTTAATGATTATTAGCCGCGCCCTATACTCATGGAAACCTGTGAATCACTTTTCTCATGGTAAAAATGGCTAGCGCTATTGCTCGTGGGTGTGTACGCAGGACGGCGACAAGGGCGGAGTCACGCAAGATGGAGGCCATACTCCAGCTAATAGGTTGAGAGAGGCATGCAGCCTTTATACCGGTAGTGTCCTTCTTTGATATTGGACATCAACGTTATGGTCATTTGACACCTGTCAAAACGAGGTATCTGCTGACCAGTATCACGTGACCAGATCACAGGCTCAAGTTTAGATCTGGAGGTCACATATTTTTTGAAGTTGACCGCTGACCAAGTGCTGGTTTTCGATTGGATCGCAGGCTCATGTCAAGTTAACTTGTTTGTATCAGGGGTCTGTTTCTCGAAGGTCCCAAAATGTTTCCGTACCCGGAAAGCTGTGGCAAAATCTCAAACCTTATGATTGCAAAGATGTCTTATTCACATATTCTAAATATGAACAGAGGTTTTCTTCATACACGAAGTTTCAGGGGTATACACCTCTCTGTTTGTAGATACAGATTGACTTAAAATGGCTTTGCAGGCCCAAAAAGGCTTCACAATTCTCACGTCTTAATGAAACTGTTATCATTCCAAAAATAGTTCTTTTGAAACCTCGCATACTCTATGACCTCAATCGATAGCCTAGTAAAATCAGAAACTTATAAACGATACAGCTAATTCTTTCTCATTCGAAAAGTTCAAGAAAATTTTAAAACAGCTCTTTTTGGAGCCATTCCAAACGGCTCTTTTCAGAGCCACCACAAAAAGTCTTGGTGTTCGTTTGCTTTGATTCTTTTGTCATTGTCTTGTTGATGAAAGTAACATCCATCTCGTGGATTTCCATGATACACATTTAGACGATATATGGCTTTTCCAAACAGAATAATTGGATCCCTATATCATTTGACCTTAACTCCGTTTAGACAAGGCAAACCTTAGAGAAAGTAGCGTACAAGTCTGGCCTTGACTACCTTTTAGAATATTTTCTCGAGTACTTTTGCCCGAATCATCAGCCCTTTGCCCAAAAACTTACAAAAATGTCTGAAACTGAAAGGGGAGGGGAGGGGGGGTGCAGTCCCCCGCTCTCCTCCGGCCCGTACCCCTATGTCTGTGATTCGCTTTTGCGGAAGGAATGCGATGCGTGGTTTTCCCATCGACAGCATGCCGAGTTTTCGCTTACTTAGATTTAGAATCGATTCTCGATGTGGTAGAGTGGCTGGGGTCCTTGCCACCAGCTGCCACCAGGCCAGGACCAAAGGGCTTAACCCAGAGTGGTGTGGTGGGTGTCAGAGAGAGGCATTTTTTGTTTTGCTAAAAACTCGTCATTTTCTTTGCAGGACAGTCTTCGCCGACAGTGATTGTGCAGGCGCAAGAACCGGCAGCCAGCCAGCCACAAACAAGCAACGTGGGTAAGTAAGCTGTGTAGTGACAGACTGCCTGTAATTGATTGTGTATTTCCTGGAAAAGTTGTAGGCTCGTTATTTCACTCGTGCTTCTTGGATTTGAGATGATTAGTGCTAACTCGGCGTTACGCACCTTTCTTTTTATCTGTCATGTCATAATTAATGCATGCTCCTGGAATAATTGTTAAATTTATTTATTTGCACGTATTTGCTTAGCATGGGGTTTTGTGGATGAAACTGCACTCAATTTCCCTGATATTGAATTCAATTCCCTGATATTGTGTGTCAATTGGTGTTTCTATACGTTCGACTGAAAACAACCTCGTTCCCAGGGTCTCTCGTCTTACCGCCC